TCTCTTCCCTCACTGGAGCCATCACTGGCTCTGGTGACTTACACCTCCTAACTTAGAGTTAGGTCCTCCCTCCCATCCTGTTTCATCTCGCCCCCTTACTGGCTCTGCATGACTTCCCATCTAGCCTTCCTGCCCCCTCCCCTTCCCCAATAAATCTTCGACATAACTGCCTCATGGATTTTCTTGTTTGATAATTATATAAAGTCAACGTGAAACATATGAAGCTGCAGCAGCCTCATTTTTTTTCTTTTCTTTGTTTCACTTGAAACAGTTCAAGTTTACAAGAGTTAAAAGAATAAATTACCCATGGGCTCTTTCTTCACCAGCTCGCTAGCAAGGTGTTGCATTTGCTCAGCTGCCCTACTCACAAGCACGCATGCGCGTGCATGCGCGCTTTGAAGTTGCAGGCACTGTGCGTGCGACATCACCCCTTAATATTTCAGCACGCCTCTTTTAGAATTTTTGCTTGTTTGTTTGTTTTCCGAGACAGTGTTTCTCTGTGTAGCCCTGGCTGTCCTGGAACTTTCTCTGTAGACCAGGCTGGCCTTGAACTCACAGAGATCTTCCTGCCTCTACCTCCCAAGTATTGGGATTAAAGGCCTGTGCCACCGTGCCTGGCTCAGCATGCCTCTTGTAAAAAATGAGGGTAGGGTAAGGACAGGGGAAATGGTTCTGTGGTTAAGAGTGCTGACCACACAAGCATGGAGGTCTGAGTTCAACTCCCTAGCACCTACGTAAAAAAAGCCAGGCACGTCCATGTGCGCCTATAACTCCAGTGTATGGGGACAGAGAACAAGCCTAAGACATCCTCCTACAGAACCAAAATGCCATGACCATATCTAAGAAAAATAACATTAATAGCATCACCCAATAAGCAGTCCACACTCAACTCCCTCTGTTCCGATCTGGGGTTCTATAGCGTGGCGTTCTGTCTTTAGTGGCCTTTACTCTAGCTGGTGCCATTCCCACTGCTTTTTCACTTGTCACAACTCTGACAATTGTAGGGTGCTTCAGAACTGTTCTGGGCAGATGGAGACGGTGTGGCTAAGCGGTGCGTAGGTGCAGCTATGTCGGGGAAATAACACCTAACGTCCGATAACACGGGGTAACTTCAGCTGACAGCACACAGTTGGACAGAGCTAGTGATCTCAAACGTTTCCAATACATAAAAACAAGGTGAGCCGGCTGTCGTGGTGCACACCTTTAATCTTGAAAAAACCAAAAGGGGAAAAAAAAAAGGAGAGAAAACGGTATGGAGAATTCACCGATGGATACCAGGAGAACACCAGGCAAGGCACTCCCTGCCTGAAAGAGGTGAGGAAAGAGCCTTCCGGGCAGGGATACCGCTTGAGTTAAGGCTGAGGACAAGAAACCGTAGAGTTGGCTGTGGATAGGCTGACTGGTGGACACTAATCATGAGCTGTTCAGCATGGCCAGAGGTGTGACAGTCAGTGGAGTTGATTCACCTCAATTTTTGGTGGTACCCATGAGGGATTTTAAGCAAGAATGGAATGTTCAGAGTTAGGTGGGGCCGTAGGCTAATTTTTAAAACTGACAGATAACTGTGTATTTTTACAAGGTACGGTGTGATGTTTCGATTCATGTGTAAAGTGATTAGCTGGCTAAATTGATATTCTATCACATCAATCAAAAATCTTTTTCTTTTCTTTTTTCTTTCTTTCTTTTTTTTTTTTTTTTCTTTTGAGACAGGGTTTCTCTGTGTAGCCCCAGCTGTCCTGGAACTCACTCTGTAGACCAGGCTAACCTTCAAGCTCACAGAGATCCACCTGCCTCTGCCTCCCGAGTGCTGGGATTAAAGGCGTGCGCCACCAGTGCCCCCAGCCTCCAAACTGTTTTCTAAAGTCATGCTGTACCTGTCGCCTTTCATGACTGCCAAGGACAGGAGTGTGATGCCCCCCTGGGTCTGCCTGTCCCTGTCCCAAGAATAGTTTGAATGGACAACAGGACAGAGAAAGCAAGAAAGAGAGGCTGTGATCACTCTGCTTGTCACCCCCTGAAAGAAAGGAGTCAGCTCATCTAAGATGAACCAGTGGTCCCATTCCAAGGATGGAGGCAGAGGGTTCTGGACAGGAAGTCCCTCAGCTTTCGCCTCTATAAGCTTTTCTAGGCTGAACGACTTCCGAGTCACTGTTTTCCTGTGGTAATAACAGTCACCTCTCCAGTGTAGAAAAGCCTGTCGGCCTGTCTTCAGACAGCCAGAGGTAGAGTTGGGAGTTAGTAAATGTCAATGATGGAACAAGGGATTCCCAAAGCAAGGTGCTGAATGGTGACAGCTTCAAAGAGGAGAAAAAAGAAAACAGAGGGCGCAGGCAGAGAGCTAGGTTAGACGCAAGGAAAGACGGAGCATGTTCAGAGCACCACCCCCAGGACGCTGCAGGGCAGCTGTTTTGGACCTGAGAAGAGTGCTTTCAGACCAAGTAGTAGCCAAGGAGCTCAGCTCTGTCTTGGAAGAAAAAGCGGGACGAAAAAGGTCTCAAAATTCAGAGCCCCAAAGACTTATTTTACATGTCAGCTCTAATGAGTTGGTAGAGGAGTTGGAGATTGCTAAATGAAGGAGACTGCGAAAGCCATCACCAGGCTCTTGTTTTAAAAGGGTAGAGACAATGACTGATTAATCGGATCTGCCCTGTGTGCAGGTAAGCTGGGAAAGATCTGGAGGTGCAAAGGGAGATGGAAAATAAAGGCAAAAGTGCCCAAAAGTGTTGTTGAATGATTTAAATATAGGAGGTCGTGTTCAATGCTGGTAGTTGAAATACCATGAGCTCTGTAGCCGAACAAGGGATGCCTTGAGTGATGTGAACACGTCCCACGGGGGCATCATCCCTCCTGAAATCACTCCTACACCAACTCCCAAAACGGGCGTTAAGGATCAAGTCTTATGCACTTGAACGTTTGGATCCGAACTACAAACCATATCCAAACCATAGCAACAGGGGAGGAAGAACAAGGCAAACCCTTGCATGTTCACCGGGCGACCCCTTGCATGCTCATAGGTCAACCCCTTGCATGCTCACCAGGCGACCCCTTGCACGTTCACCGGGCAACCCCTTGCATGCTCACCAGGCGACCCCTTGCATGCTCACCGGGCGACCCCTTGCATGTTCACCGGGCGACCCCTTGCATGCTCACCGGGCGACCCCTTGCATGCTCACTGGGCGACCCCTTGCATGCTCACTGGGCGACCCCTTGCTGCTCACCGAGCAATCCCTTGCATGCTCACTGGGTAACCCCTTGCATGCTCACTGGGTAACCCCTTGCATGCTCACGGGACAACCCCTTGCATGTTCACCGGGCGACACCTTGCATGCTCACCAGTAGTGTTAAGAGATAGGGCTTCATAATAGGAGCCAAAATGAAAACAAGCGTGGTCAGAACAGCAGACCCCAGAGCGTGCTCCAAGCAACGCTCACTGACATGATAAAATGGCTCAACTTTGGGAACTACTGTGCTAAATGCCCACTTTTAAGTGATAGTCTTTGTTGTGACATTTCCCAGGACATTTAAAGCGTTCTTCTACCTTTGGGTCCATCAGTCAGGGGTTTGTGGAGCTCCTTTCTTGTGGGACTATGCCTTTCTGAACAGTCTTTGAAAAACTGACATTAAAGAAGCGATGTAAGAAACGGAGTTCCTTGGGAATGAGAAATGAAAATTTCGTGGCTATGAACCACCCCTTTGTCTCCAAGAGGAAAGATGAAGGGCAAAGACGGAAGAGAGGAGAGAGAGCTGGGGGTAGGGATTTGAGGGGAGCAGTGGAGAAAGCAGGGTCCTGGGGAGAAGACATGTTGGGAGACCAGGAGCACCTGAAGCCACCAGAATGTCAGAAGACCTCAAGACAGGGACCTGCCCAGTGCAGGATGTATGGTCGCTCCAGTTCCCAGCACCGTCGCCGGCAGCTCTGCCAGGGAAGCGGGGCACCCGTGTGTCACACATGACATTATATCACCTTATTTCCACTTTACAGACGAGGAAATGCAGGCACGTGCAACGTGATGTGACCAGAATCAAGCTCATAGATCTCCTCGCAGGCACACAGCTCCCTCTTTCACTGCTGGAGGGGGCAGCTCTGTTGTTGGCTGTATCAGAGGGAGGACTCGAATTCCGTTATGTAACACAAAAAGGATACTGCCCCGAAGTGCAATACCAAAACATTTAGAGAAAAACGAAAAGCCAAGACCAACCCACCAGCGTCACACTGGCTGCCGGGCTGCATGGGCCAACCCCTGCAGGACTGATCTCCACAGCACATTGAAGCATTTAGACAGAATCTATGTTCTCTCTCTTTTCAAACGCTGTGCTTACTATCTCGTCTTAACTTCTATCACAAATTACCTATGACTTCTCTATGGACTCCTCTGAGATGTTGCATGTACTGCTAAAGAGAACATAAGACAGTTTTAGGATGCTAAAGCAAACACTGTGACTTTTGTACTATAACAAACTCAAAGAGCTCTCCGGTTGCCAGTTCTCTTTCTGGGTATGGAGGCCCCAAAAGAGTTTCTGAGGACAGATTCCAAAAACATGAATCATGACTCAGTTAAGTCATTTAGGCTCAGAAACAGACTCACATTAAATGCTAGCATTGATCTCTGAACTATCTAACTCCTGATGCCCATCCTTAAAATCCAAAGCAAACAAACAAAAAAAAAAATCATGCTATTAGGGCCGGGGTGGGAGGATGGGGATAAACTCTCCTCTGCAAAAAAAAAAAAAAAAAAAAAAAAAAAAAAAAAAAAAAAAAACTCAGCAGCCCAAGATGTGAAAAGTTTGTACACTGAACATCTTGGATTTGTCGTGATAGCAAAGCTTCCGTTAGGATGCTACCATTTCAAAGCAGGGGGCTTCTGGAGGCTAACTCTGTGGAGCGGGCAGTCTGAAGTCTCTGATGTACACATCTTTGAGTCCACAGCAAAACAAGCAAGCGCCATAGCTAGAGGAGGCGAAATGGAGAGGGTATCTGGCTCGTAAATTGCTTTATTTACCTGATGGCTGGTGAGGGAGGCTTTGGGTTCCTTGGTCCAGAACCCGGGCAGGGCGGAGCGTTCAAATTGCCGCTGGCCTCGCAGGGGCCGCTGAGCTTCGCTCCTGCTGCTTCTAAGATCCCATTGGAAATCCCTAGGGGCCCGGGGAGCCCCGAGGCCAATACACGGTTTCCAAGAGAGTGTGCCTCGGCTGTCCACACCCACCTCCGCTTGCGTTGACTTTGAATGGCTCGGGTTTCTTCCACCCCCTCCTTCACCGGCTGGGAATCCGAGCCTTGGGCCCAGAGGCTGCTCCTGAAACCTCTTCCAGATGTGCTCCCAAGGCAGGGCGGACTGGCTAGCTGGCGCGGACTTCCTCTCTCGGCTTTCTCTTGCAGTCTGCGTGCGAAACTCTCTCCAAAACGAGGCTGTTCTGGAGTAAAAGATTCAAACCCAGGGAAAAGCAAATGCTTGGAAAGAGAATTTATACCAAGATGTGTCTTACGTAAATTTCAAGAGAAAGCAACAGTCTGGCTCGAGCTGGGAATCTTTTTTAAATCTCCTGGACATTGCAATGTTGCTATGGCAAATCAAAACGCAGACAACTGCGGTCTTCTAAGGAGGCTGCGATAAAGACAGACGCTTCCAGATAAGAGTGCATTTCTGCCCGAAGTGGAGAGGAATCAGGCAGGGAGGGAGCAGACTTGGTCCCAACCTCTTGCGCTCTGTAGTTTTGCAGGTGGTGATCCCCAGAAACCCAGGAATGGCACCAGCGCTTTGCCCAGGATCGCGGAACATATTTTACAACGGTCCCTCTCGGCTGCTGTAAAGAGGTCCTTGCTGGCTGCCTCCGTTGCAAGCGGTCCTTTCCTTCATAAATATAATGCAACTCACACTGTAACTTCAAATTTCCAAGACTCCTCAGTAAGAGCTGCGGTGCGGAGAGGGGGTGGAAGTGGGGTGGGGTGCCTGTAATCCTTGAGAGACAGAGACAGTAGGGGTCAGGAGTTCAAGCCCAGCATAGGCTACATGAGACCTTGCCTCAAAAAATAGATAGATAAATAAACAAATAAATAAAAGTTAAAAAGGATCATCCACATTAATAAAAGTATAAAAATGTTTTTTAAGGATGTTTCTTACTTTACTCAGTGTACATGAGATATTTCAACCAACAAGTAGTATAAAATTCGTAAAAGACACTATTTTTTAAAAAATTGTTTTTACTACGTCTTTAAAATCTGGCATGGATTTTGCATTTGCAGCAAATCCCACTTCGACATTAAATTTCTTTTTTTTTTAAAAAAAAAAGATTTGCCGGGCGGTGGTGGCGCACGCCTTTAATCCCAGCACTCGGGAGGCAGAGCCGGGCGGATCTCTGTGAGTTCGAGGCCAGCCTGGGCTACCAAGTGAGCTCCAGGAAAGGCGCAAAACTACACAGAAAAACCCTGTCTCGAAAAAACCAAAAAAAAAAAAAAAAAAAGATTTATTTATTATGTATACAGTGTTCTGTTTGCATGTATGCCTGCAGGCCAGAAGAGAGCACCATATCTCATTACAGATGGTTGTGAGCCACCATGTGGTTGCTGGGAGTTGAACTTAGGACCTCTGGAAGAGCAGTCAGTGCTCTTAACCTCTGAGCCATCTCTCCAGCCCTTAAATTTCTTAATATACATTTAGATGTCACAAACTGAACACTTTAAAAAGTAGAACACGGGTGGGCGTGGCAGTGTGGGCCTGTCAGCCCAGCTACTGGGAGGCTAAGGCAGAAGGGATTGCTTGCTAAGGGCATCTGGGATACAGTGGGAGTTTGAGGTCAGCCTGGAGAACTTAGTGACTCAAACCAAAATAGAAAACAGAGATGGGTAGAGCACTTCTCCCACGACAGGGCCACAAGTTTAATCCCTAGCTGGAGTCTCATATCCCCCGCTGTTTTAAATATACTTAAAATAGTTCTAGTGCCAGGCAGTGGTGGCCCATGCCTTTTTGTTTTGTTTTGTTTTGTTTTTTGTGTTTTTGTTTTTTGAGACAGGGTTTCTCTGTGTAGCTTTTCGCCTTTTCCTGGAACTTGCTTTGGAGACCAGGCTGGCCTCGAACTCACAGAGATCCACCTGCCTCTGCCTCCCGAGTGCTGGGATTAAAGGCGTGGGCCACTTTGCTCTGAGCACTTTGTAGTTCAAAGCTGATCTGTAGATGATGTTTGTCAGCTTAGTGATGTTATTATTGTCCACGTGAAATTGTTGTTGTTGTGGGGCCCCATCTTCTTCCTGGAGACTTCAGTTGATGTTAGGCCTGGCTGTGAATTCCTGCAGAAAACTGTTAAGAGACTCGAACACAAAGACATATATATGCAGCTAATTGAAGCCTTTTTTCTTTTTAGAATTAGTATTCTATATGACCATTCATATCTTAACAAAGTTTAAAATGTATATATATATATTAATCTTATAAATTTTGATATTAAATTCATACTTTAAGAAAAGTTTAAAGAATCAGGATAGAATCAAAGAGTTGAGATTAGTAATAGAATAGTCCCTTAATTAATTTGGCTTTTGTCCTGTCCCATAGCAGAAGATGGCTTAATTATTTTTATTAAAAAATAGTTCTAACAGCAAGTGTAGTATTCATTTTTCCATTCAAATGAATGAAAATTTAAGATTCAGTTCTCCAGCTTCACTAACCATGTTGAAATACCCTTAAGCCACGTGGCTGGCAGCTACGGGGCTGAATATCGACATTCCTGAGGATTAAGTGTTTTCTGGACTTAGAGATGGAGGAGCAGTGTTAGAATATCTTTCAATCACATGGAACTCGGAACACTGACAAAACAGACCCATGGCTTCTGCTTCATTTTGTTCCCAGCATTTGTGTTAGGTAAACTGAATTTCTCTCCACCTTTCAGATGAGGAAGCTGAGGCTGTAGGGGAGATAAAGTCCAATGTAGCAAAGTAATTTAGTGTTGATGCTGGGATTCCTGGTGGATACTCCTCAACTATCTCCTTTGTTTTGTTTTTGAGTCAAGGTCTCACTATGTAGCCCTGGATAGACTGGAACTCACTGTTTACTAGGCTGAACTCCAACTCACAGAGATACACCTGCTTCTACCTCTTAAGGGCTGAATTAAATGTGTGAGCTGCCATACCTGGCTCTAGCTCCTTTTAAATTTTTATTTATTCATTTTTTTTAGTTTAAAAAATATTTTATATGTATGGGTGTTTTGTCTGCAGGTATGTATGTGCCTTATGTATGTATCTGGTGTCGGAGAGGCCAGTAGAGGGTGCTGGGCCCCTGGAACTAGAGTTCCAGATGGTTCTCTGGTGCTGGGAACCGAACTCAAGTGCCCTGCAAAAACAACTGTTCTGTTGCTCCAGTCCCTCTAGCTCCTTTCGTTAAAAAAAAAAAAGTGTGTGTGTGTGTGTGTGTGTGTGTGTGAGAGAGAGAGAGAGAGAGAGAGAGAGAGAGGAGAGGAGATCAGGAGAGAAAGAGATTATTTACTGGATCAAATGCAACTTCACAGTGGCTACACTACCGAAGAAAAAGTGATTCTCCCATTGGCTAGTGACTGCCAATGGCTGCTCAGCTAGGGCCAAGACATCTCACGCTCCTCCCCCATCCATGTTGACTGGATAGTGTTAACATGGATATTGTACAAGTCTGTGAGTTCACCAGCACAAGGTCATTTCATGTCTAGAAGGCAGGATTCCACTATCCCCGCTGCTTGTTCTTTTCTCTCATATATATATTTCCAAGTGTGGGTTTCTGCATGTGAGTGCAGTGCCTGAGGAGGCCAGAAGAGGGCATCAGAGCCTCTGGAGCTGGAGTTACGGGTGGCTGTGAGAGACTTCCTAGTGGATTTGAGGAGCCAAATTTGGATCCTCTGAAAGAGCAGGAAGTGCTCTTAACCACAGACTCAATATTCTCTGGTTTTTAAATTCTTTCATCCTTCTCTTCTGCAGTATTTCTTGAGCTCTGTGGGGAGAGGAAGAATGATGCAGACGTCCTGCTTAGGATGGAGCACTCAAGAGCAGTTGTAATGGCTATATTGTTCGGGAAGACTCTGGACTCCCCCTAACAACAACTCTGGGGAGGTATCCCATGGCTGGCACTGGGATTTTCATTTGATAACCCAGCCTTCTGGGAGCAGCATTATCCACTTACGGGGGGTGGGGAGGTAGCAGATATGGTAGAGTGGTCCTCAGTCTTGTCCTAAGGCAGCTCGGCAGACAGAACCTTAAGCTGATTCCCGTCCAGGTCACTTCATACTAAGGTCACCTCATCTTCAGCTCTTATCTACTTAGGAGAATGCTTGATCAGCCTGCTGTTGAATAAGTGGATGAAACCCACTCAAAAGTGAGTTTCAAAACTGAGTTTCAAAACTGAGATAATAACTGCCTTCACAGGACCTACTTACTACTCCTATTAACTGAAATCTCTCTGATGATTATTTTTGGACCCTTTCCCTGATCTCTAATGTCCAGCTCCTTTCCTTTCTATTCCTGCTGTGCCACACTTTGAGGACACAAGAGCTTTCTTATCTATGGCCAATGTTTCCATGTTGTATTTGTGGATTCCTCCTTATGAAATAAATGAGACGGGAAAGAGATACAGGCTATCAGTGACATGTTAATGGTGCATTGGCACCCAGTGTGGACTTTGGAGCTCAGTTGTTATTTTTACATATTATTGCACGTTTTCAGTTTCTTCATCTATTAGGAGTTCTGTTAGGAGAGGCCTAACAGAACTGAGGGCTGAAATGTATCATGCATGCCAGATGGTGGTGGCACACATCTTTAATCCCAGCACTCAGGAGGCAGAGGCAAGCGGATCTCTGAATTCGAGGACAGCCTGGTCTGCAGAGTGAGATCTAGTACAGCCAGGGCTACACAGAGAAGCCCTGTCTCAAAGAATAAAAACAAACAAACAAACAAACATGATTTTACATTATACATATATAATACTCAGAAAAGCCTGATAAATGGAAATTAGTATTGTTGGTGCTTTCAAATCATACTTAAATGGAAATTTAATGATAATATTTAGCTAATTTAATTTAGTAATAGTTTTATATTTATATGGTTAATTGATAAAAAATTGAATATATTCAAGATATATATCATGACCAGATACATACACAGACACAAACTATGTACTGATTACCAAGT